AAGAGGAAGAGGAGAGAGAGGAAGAAGAGAGGGAGGAGGAGGAAGAGGAAGAGGAGGAAGGGAGGGAGGAGGAGGAGGAAGAAGGAGAAAGAGGAAGAAGAGGAGAGGGAGGAGGAGGAAGAGAGGGAGGAGAAGGAGGAAGAGGAGAGGAAGAGGAGAGGGAGAGGGAGGAGGAGGAGGAGGAAGAGAAGGAGGAGGAGGAGGGAGAGGGAGAGAGAGGAAGAAGAAAGGGAGGAGGAGGGAGGGAGGAGGAGGAGGAAGAGGAGAGAGAGGAAGAGAAGGAGAGGGAGGAGGAGGGAGAGGGAGAGGAGAGGAGAGAGAGGAAGAAGAGGAGAGGGAGGAGGAGAAAGAGAGGGAGGGAGGAGGAGGAAGAGGAGAGAGAGGAAGAAGAGGAGAGGGGGGAGGAGGTAGAGGGAGGAGGAAGAGGAGGAAGAGGAGAGAGAGGAAGAAGAGGAGAGGGAAGAGGAGGAAGAGGGCAGGAGGAGGAAGAGAGAGAGAGGAGGAGGAAGGGAGGAGGAGGAAAAAAGGTGAGGGGGCTTTTTCTTATAGAGATTCATTCCCAGAGACTCCCAAGACCAAGGGAGGACAACTACGGCAACTTTAAAGCATAGCTGGTTGAGGAATTCTGGGAGTTGGAGTCCCCAAGTCTTAAAGGGGCCACGTTAACCCCCCCCCTCCCCTCCCCCGGGCTCCACAACCTCCGCAACTTTTCAGCTGTGTGGACTTCCGACTCCCAGAATTCCCCAGCCGGCCACGCCTGGATTCATCCGCACAACGCAGGTGGTCCTCGACTTACAACCCCCCAACGGAGGCCCGGACGTTTTAGGTGGCTTCAGTGAGAAACTGGCGCCAAGGGAACGATTGCCCCGGTTTTGACAACTTTCCCTGACCCGGTTAAGCGGTGGCGCCATCACGAAGGGAATCCGGCTGTTTCCTGCATCAACTTGGCTCAGGGTCGCAAAAAAAGGGCCGTCCTGCGACACATACGCCCTTAACCCCTCCGGGACGCTGCGGCCGTCATAACTCTGAGCCGCTTGCCAAGCAAGCCCGAACTTTGATCCCGCGACCAAGGGGATGGTCGTTAAGGGTGAAAAAGGGTGATCCTTAAGTCCCGTTTGTTTCCCGTGCTGTTGTCGCCTTTGAATGGTCCCTAAACGAATGGTTGTAAGTCGAGGGCGGCCTGGAAACCCAGCTGTGAAGCAAATCCAGCTTCCCCCGCCTCTACTTTGCTTGTCCGAAGGTCGCAAATGGGGACGCTGCGGCTGTCACAATTTGTTTTTTGTTTTTTTAAAGTTTTTAATGTGTAAGTTTTCCTTTGACATAGATACAAGTGCTTAATAATAAGACAGTGATATTGTCAAGAGTCAATTTACAAAAAATATACAGTCCTAGTAGAAATAACTTTCTTTGCTTACGTAGGATGCCTATTCTTCCCATTTCTAAATTCTACTGGGCGGAAACAAACAACCGATGTCAACTCATAAAACATTCCTGGGCCTGTTTTAGTAGTTGCCATAATTTTTTAAAAAAGGGGGGGGGAGAAACTCTGGGAGGGGGAGAGGGGGAGGGAGGAAGAGAGTGAAAGGGGGAGGGAGGAAGAGAGTGAAAGAAAGAAAGACAGAAAAAGAGAGAGAGAGAGAGAGACAAAGAGAAAGAATGAGACACACACACACACACACACACACAAAGAAAGACAGAAAAAGAGAGAGACAGATAGAAAGAGAAAGAATGAGACACACACATACAAAGAGAGAGAGACAGATAGAAAGAGAAAGAATGAGACACACACACACACATACAAAGAAAGACAGAAAAAGAGAGAGAGACAGATAGAAAAAGACACACACACACACATACAGAGAGACAGACAGACAGATAGAAAGAGAAAGAGAGACACATACACACACATACAAAGAGAGAGAGAGACAGACAGATAGAAAGAGAAAGAATGAGACACACACAAAGAAAGACAGAAAAAGAGACAGAGATAGAAAGGGAAAGAATGAGACACACACACATACATACAAAGAAAAAGAGATAGAAAAAGAAAGAATGAGACACACAAACACACACAGAGAGAGAGAGAGAGAGAGAGAGGGAGGGAGAGAGAGGGGAGGG